TCTCTCTCTCACACACAGAGAGACAGCTCTAAAGAGGGCTTCACCGCTGTATCTGTGTGTATACAGATGCGTAAATGCTGAAGGTTGCTGGTGATTCTTCCTCGAAGGCCTGCGGTGTCGCCTGCCCCCAGGAGAGTGGGCTGCTACCCAAGAGACTATTTATTACTGTCCACTTGCTCATGAAATATTTAATGAGTATCATTAGATAATGTGGTGGGAACTGGAGGTAAAAGGTCACAGTTTAGTGAGGGAGACCTACAAGTCAACTAGCAACCACGTTCCAGACCGGGGACATTCAGGGTACTGTGGAGGTGCCTGACAGAGGCAGCTTATCAGCCCTGGTGGGGAGGGAGCTTTCTGAGAGACAAGGTGCTAGTGAGTAGAGGAGGCTTCCCAGGACAGGTAACACCGGACTTAAAAATGAGCAGTTTACCTAGAGAGTGGCAGGGTGCGGGCATTTCAGCAGCGAGCAGCAGGACAACCCCCAGGGGTGTCATGCAACATGGCACAGTATGGGAATTGAAAGTAGTTTAGTATACTTGGCATGTAGGAGATTTGTGAGACAGAAGGAGAGGTAAAATTAGAGTGGTAGACAGGAGCTATGTCATTAAGAATATTGGGTTAGCTGCAGAGTCAAGGTTTTAGTATTAGAGTTTAGGCAGGATCATTTGTAAACAGTATGGAAAGCAGATTTGATAGATCAAGACTAGAAGTAAAGAGTCCAGTTGGCTCTTGGTGGGCGGAAATGCCTGGGGAAAGTCAAGCATGAGTCCCAGGTCTCTGGCTGGGACAATGGGTAACGAACAATGCTGTTCATTCAGGGAAGTCCAAGGAGCAAGTGGTAAGATGGTGGGCAAAATGACAAGCATGGCTGTGGGCATCTTGGCACCCAAGGGGGGACATTCACCAATAACTTGGAGAGATGGGAGGGGGCTGTGGCTCAGGACGTGGAGTATGGAGCTCTCAGCATGTAAGTTGTAGTTATGCCTTGGAAGGAAAGGAGGGGGTCAGGAGCAGAAGGGTGGGGAACAGCCGTGTTTAAGGGAAGAAGAGGAGCCCACAAAAGAGACTGGGAAGGAGAAGCCTGAGAGGAGGGAAGGCAGGAAACGGCATCTTAGAAGCTGAGATAGGAGAGACTTGCAAGGAGGAGCCAGTGGCCACCTCAGATGCCGCGGAGAGGGGAGGTTAATCAAAGATGGCAAATGTCCACTAGTGTTGGCAAGGACAGGTTCACTGAGGACCTCTCCCACAGCAGATCTGGTGAAGTGACAGGGTGTGGGTAGAGTTCAGGAGGTTGAGGAATGAACAGGTGCGAGAAAGTGGAGTGTGAAGGGCAGGTTACTCAGCAGGGAAGAGAAGGAAAGAGACATAGATAGGCTGAAGGCCCCAGTGGTATCTCCAGGGCTGAGCCTGCCGAGAAGCCGAGCCTCCTAAGAGGGTGGGAGGGGCCGGTCCCAGAGCAAAAAGGCCTTTAGAACAATGAACCCACCTGCGCAGTCCCTATTTTCTTTGGGGGAGGAGCTTGAGGGGAATGGTCAAATTTTGAAATATCTCATGTGGGAAATAGAGAAAGAGTTGAGAAAGGGCCATGCAAGAATTTTCAAGAAACCCTGGAGGATTCTGTTTATTAACCGAGACCCAGGAGTAAAAATGGGAGGTAGCTATATTGGTTGGGGGTTAAGGTTTTGTCACATGGGTGAGATGAAAGGAACAAACGCTAGAGGGAGCTGAGGAGTCTGCAAGGAAGCAGTTGGATGGTGGCTTGGGGGTACCGTAGGAGGGAAAAATCAGGCAGGTGTGGGGACAGAGAGGGCACTAAAGATCCCTAAAAGGGCAAACAGCTTGTGCGCTAGGAAGAAGGGATACTCTTCTTGCTGCTTTTGCTGAGTAACAGTACGTTTTGCTTGAAATTTCACTTCACTGTTCTTAGAGTATTTCTTGTATTCTCCCACGTTGTTACTATAATTAGAGTAGCTAACCATTATTGACTGTTCACTGTGTGTCAGGCACTGTTCTAAGTGCTTTTATGCTTATTCATTCATGGAACCCCCACATCCACCTAATGCTCCGGGTCCTGTCAGGTTACCCTATTTTACAGAGCTGGTAACAAAGTTGCATAGCCAGAAGGGGTTGTATTAGCTTTTCCTAGGTTATGTTGTCATAACAAAACTCCCAAATGGCAGTGGTTAACAACATGAAGGTTATTTTTTGTTTATGTTTTATGTCAGCCGGGGTCAGTAGGGGCCTTCTGTGTTCACTCACCTGCTTCATAAGTAGGAGGACTGTATGTCCTGGGTTATTCAGAGTAGTCCCACCTGTACTTTCCCAAGCTTAATTAACAGATCTCCCTTTTACTCTTAGAAGTGTCCCAGTTTAGATGATTAATATGTGATCATCCCTTATGATTTAATAAAAAAATGTGATCATCCCTTTCAAAAAATAGTGAATACAAATGACGGTGAGGAATCATCACTTACCAAGGCTTCATGAAAATGGCTATAGCTGTCGAAGGCATTTCTTCCTTTACTAGTTTCCCAGGATAAAATTCTTCTGGGATTACCTGAGGCTTCCCCAAGGTGAAGTCCAAATGGAGAACTGGTGTGTCACCTGCTGAGCCATGCATGTTAGATTAGAATCACCACCCAGAGGTGACAGTGAACCCCAGGCCTTTAATTCAGGGGGGCAGGGAAGTATGGTGAGGCTCAGAACAGTACCAGACAGGCTGTTTACCACAGGCGACAGGGATAGCCACGGAAGAGGGTGGCAGAGACATGAAACATCCCTTCAAGAGGGAAGGACACCCAGGGGCATGTCACTCGACAGCAGCGGCTGGCACTGACCTGCAGCAGGGATCCCACTAGCGCCTCATTCGCACACCCAGGCACAGACTTGTCTGGAGCCTGGGAGACAAGCCCATCCATTATCCTGCATAACCCTGGTTATGCCAAAGAAATACAGCCTGGTGAATGAACCCCAGTCTCTTGATAATCAGGTGGTGACACCACATTCTCTTCCAGAGAAATTCCCATACAGAAGGCAGTGGAGGAAGGATGCCTCAGATTGAGCACCCCCAAGGCCGAACTTCTAGAATGCTTTCAAAAGTTCCAGGTGGGTGTCCAACTTTACATCCTGTCTCAAGAGAATCCTGTTTAGTAGTCATAAACTCGGCCTCATAGAATACAATCCATTTTTATCTTTAGCACAAATTTGTTTTTGAAGAAAGTACAACACAGGCTTCTTACAGAAATCTCATTGTGCCTCCCAGTGGCAGAATAAATGTGCCATGTTTGCAAAAGGAACATTTTTCTTTATATTCAAACCATTTCAATGTGTATTTTACCTTTTCAACTCTCCTACTTTGCCCTCAATCTCCAATTTAGGTCATAATGGTGTTTTCCCAACAAAGAGTGCTTGGTCTCTGGTGTAGGAAGTTTGCTAATTCTAAAGGGACTCCTGGCTCTGTTGGCCTGACATTCCCAACAGCTCTGTGCAAAGCCACCTCTAATCTCACACTCAACTGGC